TTTTCCAAATCGCCCATGAGGTGTATGAGAATTGGATTGGGTCTCTTGGCTGTAGGCCGAAAATCTGCGCTCACCAAACCCCAAACCCTTTTCCCATGAGTTTGGAGAACTTCCGGACACATCTTGAGTTTTCTGAAGCGGGTAGAACCTGGTTCTAAAGATCCATGGGTCGAAGTGACAGATGGCGGTGTTGTCATTTCGCCATTTTTTGCAGGCCAGCATCTGAGCCCTGATCAGGTTTCAGGTTCCAGCAGCAGTACCGGTTCAGGAGCCACCTCCAAAGCAGGAAGCTTCAGCCAAAAGCTCTGAACCTTCTGCCCCAAACTGCCAAGCGCAGAAGGTTGGCAAAATTGAGGGTTCAGGCTGGGCCTACACTTGTAAGAACTTCAGCCTACACTGCGCTTGCCGCCCATTCTGCCAAGGAAAGAGCATCGGCGAACTGCCAGTTTAGGGTGTTGGGTCTGCGCATTGAAGCCCAAGGCTGCAAGCCAGTATAAGCTGAGGCTGAATGTCAACGTACTTGAAGTGGAACATGGTGTTGGAGAACCTTGGACTCCAAAGGGTCGTTTCATGGGCTCTTCAGGCCAGGGCTCCGTTTTAGAGGTTGGGCTTCAGGCTCACAGATGAGGTATGCTCATGTGGCATTAAACTTAAGAAAATGACTGTGTGTTCCTTTGCATGCCTTCATGCTATAATTAGGAAAACCGGTCTTGATAAAGGCTTAGCAACCCCTCCAAAGGCCAATCTATGCAAGGAGTGGTCGAGGCATCAGTTTTGTGCATTGCGGGGAAGCCAGCCAGGCTCCAAGCCCTAGACCCTAAATCCTCGCTCTACTGGCTGTCCGGATAGGCTTTGTGCTCAGCGTTTTAGGGACAAGTTGGTGGGTCAAGAGTTTCAAATTCTTAGTCCATTCCCCCTTCCTATCAATAGGAATATGTAGGGGGGGGTACCCATGGTTCCCACCTATTTAAATAGGTCCCCGGGACCTATTTCGGGAGGGTGGTTCGGGAGCTCAAAAAATAGGTCCCGCGACCATGTTTTGAACGTGGTTTATCAGTTATGCTGGCTCCAGCAGCATGCAGTACAGAATTTGTTATTTCCGCAGAGCTAGGGTATGAGGGATGGCATACACCACTAACACGTTAGGCGATCTTGTGGTGCAGAAATACAAGAATTCTTTCGAAGCCCACAAAACATTTCTGTTGGGTCATAGGATGGAGTAGCATAGGCCTAGCGAATATGAATCTGTGTAGGTTGCAAGGCTGCTAGGATGCCTGAGGGAATGGAGTGGCGACTCTGCGTGAGAGAGCGGCTGTCTGGGAAGAACAAAGGAAAGAAATACGGCACTTTGCTTGCAACAAGTGTTGGCTCTGTAGTCTGAAAATGATGGTTTGGTTAGATGGGGTAATGCAACCCATAAAATCTAGGAGTTTAGGGCTTAGATGGGTTTAGGATGGTTTAAGTTAGGGATGGGTTTTGGAATGTTTTGGATTTAGGGTAGAGGTGCAGAATGGTGCGGACATGCAGCCAGAAAGGTTGCCATCAGCACCGCCGCCGCCGCCACCACCACCACTGCTACCACTGCCATCACAGCCACCACCACGTACGCGCATCATAATCCCTAAGATCCCCTAAAGTTCCCTAACGTATACCTCAGAAACTTGAGCCACCCTCTAGGATCCTCTAGGTTGACAAGGTTGTGTAGCCACTAGGCAGCCCCTAGAATCCACTTCCTGACGACCTTGGGCCCACAAAATCCCAAACCTATGGTACACCAGGGTAAACCATGGTAAACCTGAATGCAACCCCAGGCAAATGGATCAGTCCTGATGGCACAGCATGCTTTGATTCCCATACGAAAGCGCTGGACTACGCATTCCAGAACGAGCTTAAGGCCAGGTTGCCAGCATTTGCCAGCCAAACTTTTAGGAGCCCATACAATCCCATACATTTGCCAGACGCCTCCATACCCGGCAGAGATGTACTTGTACGATGCAGACGGCTACAAGGCGTGCAGACTAGCTGGTGTCTTGTATTGTCATTTGTTGTCGGTTAGTGAGCCAGGATTCGACGTCGGTGCCTGATGTTGGCAAGGAGCGGAAAATCATGTCGAGGCTACCTGCTGTTTTGCTTATGTCAGGATGATGTGCTTGCCGCTTCTTCTCATTCTGAAAGTCCAGGTGACAAGGCTCGTGGGACTTTCGACAATGGATTGCCTTGCCCCCGCTCCCTTCTCTCTGTCCAGGATGTGGTGAATGAATCAAGCCCTGGCGACTCTTCGCCTGTTGTGCTTCGTGTACCTTTGGAGGCCTTGTCCAGTAGCACATAGTAGCAGTGTAGATTATTGTGATTTATTGTGCGTTCGGTTCCCCAGGCCCTCGAGAATGACTTTCCCAGCACTTTGCTGAAGGAGGCCAGCTGATAGCATTTCATGGGCCACGCTATTATCCGGTGCCCCAGGCCATCGAGAATGACTTTCCGAGTACTTTGCTGACGGAGGCCAGTTGATAGGATTTCATGGGCCATGCTTTCCCGGATTTTGTCGGTAGTGTCTGACTTGGTGATGCGTATTATGTCTGCCGTGCGTGCCTGCGCAAGTCTGTTCCCCTGGCAGGAGAATCCGGAGAGATCTCATCTTGCAGAGGAGGCCAGGGTATTCTCACGTGCTGCCTTATGCTGCCTTTGTCTTGCTATGTCTTGCTGGAACAGTGACAGATTGAACAAAATATTTGCAATCAACTGTCGCAGCATGTTGCAGCATGTTGCAGCCATTCAGCGTAGGGTCCTGGATCATCTGCTCAATGGATATCACTGGCAAGCGCGGCTTCCTAAATCTGGTTCGTGACTGGTCTGAAAATTCTGCAATAACAGGACGGCAAGGGCTTGGCTATGCTTTGCTAGGTTGGACTTGATGGACTTGTCATGACTTCTCTTATATTCCTTGATGTTCCTTGTGCTTGCTGAAATCCACTGAGGTCTCGGAATGCAATTGGTTGACCGTGCTGCCGTTGTCGGTGGCCCCCCTTGCTCCCTTCAGATATTCATGCCGCTTGTCAGCGCCCGCTTCCAGAACCAGAAGATACACTTGCCGCGTGTTGGGACGGGTTTTCCATAACATGGCATCAGACTCACTCAGGTCTTCATCTGTGCATCTTCGCAATTGGAGACAGCCAGAGGGTGATACCTCCAAGCTGAAAATTCGCTTGAGCAACCTCATCGCTGAGAACACAGTTCCCTGGCATTCTGATTCTGCAAGATTCTGCTTGAGGCAATATATGCCAATGTATCTTCTGCCACGGCTTCACGCAGTACTTTTGGTCGTCTTAACCCACCCTCATTTCATCTTATAAGAGCTTGTATGATGTTGTATGATGTATTCTGATACTGTATGATGTTGTACCACGCCGTCGTTTCCTTGATGTTCCTTGCATCCAAAAGATCCAGGCGTGCTGGCTGAAGCTGCTATTCCGCCGGGGCATTCAAGTGTACTGGGTGTTGGAACAGCCGACAAGCAGCTGGATGTTCCGTCTGGGATTTATGCTGACCCTCGCAGCGATGTACAATGCTGCGAGCTGTTCTACTTGGCGACCCATCTGATGTTCATTGTTGCTTAGCTTGCTGGCCCCAAATAATCTCGCAGCACCTGTGCATGCTGTGATTGTACATGATTGTACAGGGCTTCATTCGCTTTATCGTGCGTGCTTGATCTGAGGATGGGTTGCTATGGACACGATATGCTGAAACCTACTCGGCTTCTAGGAAATCTTCCCAAGTTGCACCGGATGCAAAGAACGATGACAGCCTCCCGCAAGAAGCAAATCCAAGATCGCTTTGCCTCTTGCCTGCAACATCCAAGAAACCACGTGGTCTTGCTGCTTTCGCTCTGTTATGCTCTGTTATTATTGTTATTGAAACTCATTGCCTGGCGAACCCACCTGGGCTTGCCCGTGGGGCAGGATCTGCTCAGGCGAAAAGGAATGAAAAGCGCAAGAACCCCAAGGTGTACATCATCAAGGACAGGGATCTGTCATGATTTGTTGTGATTTGTTGTCCGAGCTCGTGTGTCTGGATTTTACTCCATATGCTTGATGGTGCGGCAGACGGCAGGATAAGAACGGGAAAGTTTCAGGAGGGAAGAACCTTCCTGGAAGCGCGGCCTACCCTGCGGGATTCAGCAACACGTTGTTCGCCGTCTGGCTGCAGGCTTACCAAGGGGAATCCTGAGGCTTAGGCAGCTCCTATCAGCTGCTGCTGGGGTCCGTACATGTTTGTACAGGCATGTCATGGCATGTCTGGGGCCAGATGGGGCCAGCTTGGGTGACAACAGCGCCCAGCGCATCATTGCGCACCAGACAGGTCAGCGCAGGGAGGAGCGGTGGCCAAAAAAACGCACGCGCTTGCTGATGCTTGCTGATTGAGCATGATTGAGATCAGGCGTGTCGAAATGGGCACAATGGCAAGCAATAACCATCAATAGCCTGTCAAGTACGTGGCCTCTGCTGCAGGTTGCTATGCCAGACGCGCCGTCCTCCGCTTTGAACCAGGCTGGGTGTGGCGCGGTGCGCCTTTGAACGTGATTATTCGTGATAGCGAGGGTGGAATCTTTGTATGGTTTTGTAATGTTTTGTATTTTTGTATCCAGCACATGTCCCTGGCGTTGGAGGAAGCTCCACTGTGTCCACCTGACATCGATTCGAACGCAGGTAGGGTGTGGGAACTTCTTGCTGGCTCTTTGCTTGCTTGTTTCCAGCAGGCTGAGTGTGATTGTGAGTCTGGTTGGATCTGGTATGATCTGGTTGGCAAGTGTCTGTGAGCAGCGCCTGGTAACCGTGAAGTAGGACGGTCGTGCACGGCAGCAATAAGATAGAAGATATAGAAGGCGACCACAGCAGTGTGCAGTACTTGTCCTTGATTTTGGAAGAGGCTCCACCGTGTCCGCCTGGCGACGACTCCAGTGATTCGAACAAGGAGGCTGGGCAGTAAAGTAGGGTGGCCCCAGCATGCCCTCGCATGCCCTAGCATATCCGAGCATGTAGCATCCTATAGTATCCTATAGTATCCTATATTCTCCTATAGCATCCTATAGCACCCTCTAGTGTGTCCAAAGCTAACGGTTGACGGAGAAATTTTGCGAGGCTAGGGGTCTTTACGTTGCCATTGTAGATGTTAAGGATTCTGAAGGGATGTTAATGGCTTAGTCAGGGTTTGGGGTGTAGGGCGTAGAGCCGCCATCGCCACCGCCACCGCCAGACCATTCGGTCTGGACCGTTTTTCCAAAAAATCCTGGATATTTGGAAAATTGGTCTGGGCCCCTTTGAGCAGTCATTACAGGCACCGTTATTGTAGAGTCTTCTAGTCCAGTTACACGCCTGCTTGTCCAGCAACCATTGTCCACCTAAGGATACCTAGGGTATCTTATCATTATTTATCATTCCTAGATTCGCAGCATTCCCTAGTAGCCCACAGAGCCCGCGTGACAGGTAGCTCCGATTCGCCCACCGGGCCATGCTTCGAACACGGAGGTTGGGGTGCCAGTCTTTCTCCCATGAAGATTCTCTCAACATCACAGACTCCATGGTGACAGCGTGTGACAGTGCATAGTGAAGAGATGTAGAGAGCGGTGGCGTGTGATGGTGTATGGGATTGTGTAGGACTGTATGGGTCAATATGGGTCATGACAGGTCTCTAGATGTCTGTGTTGCCATCTGATATCATCTGATATCTCGAGCTAGGGGCCCCAGGCTTTATTCAGAATATGATAGAATATGTCAGAACTATCAAGAACCATGAAATTAGTTCTGGCGTCTACTGCTTCCTTTCCAGTCTTCTGTGTGGCCCCAACATGCCCCATCCAAGGTGTCCGCCGATCCAGTTGCAGTAAAGCCGGAGTTGCAGGCGCTGCCAGCTTTGGCCTTTCGGGTCATTGAAGTGCGAGGGTTATTTATGGTGTTTTATGGTAGTATGTGGTAGTAGATATTCGTAGATGCACTGGTCTTACATTATCTTACAGTCCCATACGCTCTTACAAGTCAAGCTGCTCTGCTGCTGTGCGTAGATCTGTTCGAACATGTTCGAACACAATGTAAATCCATGCCACGGAGACCACCATCAGCGTTTGATTGTGTGAAAAGGGATGATGTTTTCACTCAGCCTTACCCAGCAAAAGCCTAGGCTAGCCTGGATTGCGGGTTGTGATAGCTCATGGCTTGTTGTTGTTGTTGTTGTTGTTGGGAAAGGGGCCGGACGAATTTTCCAGGATAACTTTAATCAAAGGATCCGTCGCTGGGCTCTCAGAAGCTTTCGGCGTTGATTTTGGGAGGGCTGAAGGGGTCTGCTGTAATATGCTGTGATATGTTGTGATAGTGCCAACATGACCGGGTTGGTTTTCGGTTGGTCTAATGGGATTTGTTGTAATGGTTCCAAAGCCTTTATCAAGGAATATCAACATAAGATAACATAAGGTGATACAAGGAATCTAGGGGCATTCTATGGCATTCTAGAGGACGAAGGTTTTAGGGCTTGGTTGGGGGGGTCGACCCACCCTCCTCCTCCTCTGCGGCTATTAAAACCCCCCCACAAGCCTCCCTCCCCCAGACCTATTTCTCTGTACGACTCCATTCCTGCTAGGAGAGCATTCAATTTTGGGGCTTGGTTGGGGGGGTCGACCCACCCTCCTCCTCCTCTGCGGCTATTAAAACCCCCCCACAAGCCTCCCTCCCCCAGACCTATTTCTCTGTACGACTCTATTCTACTCTATTCCAATCCTGCTAGGAGAGTATTCAATTTTGGGGCTTGGTTGGGGGGGTCGACCCACCCTCCTCCTCCTCTGCGCGGCTATTAAAACTCCCCCACAAGCCTCCCTTCCCCAGACCTATTTCTCTGTACGACTCTATTCTACTCTATTC